CCCCATTCCCGACACATACGCAAGAAATGTAATTTTGTGCGCGTGTGACTGGAAGGGGACCCCTCGTGTGTTTTCACATCCATTGGGATAATAATGAGGTTACATTATGTGGATGTGAAATAAAATAACGCGATGAGCGGGGATTCACAGCAACCAGGGTGAAAAGTTGAAAATTCTGACTGTCGATTGGTTGCTATGGGTTACCGCGCCGAGTATTTTCACTCATATAATAAGCCCCATATCGACCGAGAGGAGTGATCCTCCATCGCCGGTAACAAACGATGACCCGGGAATGAGGCACGATGCAGGTCGGGTATGTACAATGTCTTTAATCCCCTGCTTGTTTGCTTTGCTCATGCTGCTAATATCCACAAATTGAAATAAAAGGGGAGGGGGGGAGCAGGTGAGCGCCTCAGGTTTGGGGGTAAAAGAGGTGGGATACAGGTAGACCCTCCCCGAATGTTGTTGCTGTCCCGCCGTGAATATCCATCTTCCAAGCGATAAGCCTCGCTGCTCAATTCTCTTCCACACGAGGGGAGCTGGGCTCCAGTTACTGGATTTGTGAAGAAAACTTTGGCAATGTCTTTCCTGCCCGCACGTTCCAAATGCTCGTTACACCGCGCAAAATCTGCCAAAAAGTGCCAGAAAAATGTGTGACTTCTTAAACCAAAAACTAAATGACAAAATGGCCTGTGACAGCCCCAGCCCCTTCTGTTTGGCCCTGAACCCCCCCCTGCAATAGCAGCCTAATTAAGCAGAGCAGTTTGGTCGGTGAAGCGCCTCCTTCCAACATTTCGGGTCGGACGCTGGCGAAAAAAAATTAATGAAATAAAATGGAATTGTGTCTGGGGACAGGAGGGTCGCCCCAGTCATTTAATAGAGGTCTGCCGGAAGGGGAAAAGCCCCATCAAGTCTGATGTGGTCCCAGTTTAAGTGGTCCTATCGTGCCACGTGGCTCCCAGGCAGCGTGCTATTGGCCAGGTGGATGACCGGTAATGGATGCGCTTCTGTGTTGAAGACCCAGTTGTCCAATGGCAGAAGGTCGTCGCTGGAGAAGAGAAGGTACAGGTACCTGCGGGAGGGGAACATGAGAGGAGTAAACATCAGATCGAATACCAAATCAATATTCATTCAAAAGTCACTAGGTACAAATGTAAATATTCAGACACGAGTATGGCAAGTGGTGGTCTCTGAGCATGCTACACATCAGATCAGAGGGAGATAGAGGGATACAAAGTAACATTGTTTATAAACATTGATCAGAGGGAGAGAGAGGGATACAAAGTAACATTGTATATAAACATTGATCAGAGGGACATAGAGAGATACAAAGTAACATTGTTTATAAACATTGATCAGAGGGAGAGAGAGAGATACAAAGTAACATTGTATATAAACATTGATCAGAGGGAGAGAGAGAGATACAAAGTAACATTGTTTATAAACATTGATCAGAGGGAGATAGAGAGATACAAAGTAACATTGTTTATAAACATTGATGCCACGCACACGGGGGCTCAGCTTCTCCCATGGGTCCCCTCTGCTCTCCCGGGCAGTGGCAGCGGGGGATCCGACACGAAGCACACAGCGGGGGGGGGGGGGGTGGGGGAGCCGCTGTCACC